CTTGGATTGCCTGTTTCCAATTTGACCAATCAGTTCCACGTTGACTTTTATCAACAGAATAGGGTTCAATGTCATTGCTCAACATGATCTCAGTAGCTACTGCATATGCTAATGCATTGTTGATAATTATCTCAATTCTACACCAAACATCATCCAAGCAGTATATTGGACCAAAATCTCTCGAATCTCAGGAGGTGGATTTGTCTCTTCAAGGACGCTTCCATAATCAAGAATTTCCTTATGAGTTGGATATAATGAGTAGGCAAAAGTCGGATTTACTGTAGGCTCAAAAGGAGCTCGTGTTGTGGGTTTCCTCTTCCAGGGGTGTGAAACTTTTGAACCAAGTGGTATGCCATGCTTTTGTGTAGGGGCAGATGATTGGCTAGCCGTTAATGTACGTGGATCGACCAAAGTGGTGTCCCAGGCCTCCAGAAGGGAAGTCCATCGTACATTTGGTATATCCATCTTTGCAGGCACATTCACAACTAAAATATGTGATCTTGTCGCGCTAGATTGGTGAAAGCATTTGGCATGCTCTGAGCTACGCTCTGAAGATTTAATATGTGCTGCATTTCAGTTTTAGACTGAGCGGTGCGGGGATCTAAATGAGACAAAGTGGGAGTCGTCCTCGATAATTCATGTTGTTCTTCAGGAACGTTGATGTTTTTATCTTCCTCTTATGATGAAAAGATTGTCTAATAGAAGTGACAATCCGTGAAACGAGTGGAAAACATATCGTCTATTAAAGGTTCTAAGTAACAAATGATTAAAGGAGAATCATATTCGACATAGATTCCCATTTTTTGCTGATGCCTCATTTTTGTACGTAAGGGTGGTGAAATCGACACATAAACCGCACAACTGAAAACGTGTAGATACGATATGTCGGGTTCGTATTCGATAACCAACTAAAGGGCGCTATATGATTAAGTTGCAACATACCTCAGGAGGACCAACATGGTTGCGTGCAATATTGCAAGGCTCCAAGCAGCGATCGGGAACTTAGTACGTATGACCAATGATCGAGCAATCATTTGTAAGTGCTTAATGAACATCTCTGCCAGGCCGTTCTGGGTGTGAACATGGGGTACTAATGTTCAACTTCAACCCCAACAGACACGCAATAGTCATCAAAAGTTTTAGATGTGAATTCTCCATCATTATCCAATCGAATAGATTTGATCCGATAATCAGAGTGGTGAGCCCTGAGCTTGATAACATGAGCCAACAGTTTGGAAAATGCAGCGTTCCTTGTAAACAACAAGCACACGTGTGACCAATGTGTGGAAGCGTTAACCAAAACCATAAATTATCTAAATGGTCTGCATAGAGGTTGAATCGGTCCATAAATGTCCCCCTGAATCCTTTGAAGAAAAATAGGAGGATTCAAGCGAATCTTGTTATAAGAAGGCTTAATGATAAGCTTTCCCATAGAGCAAGTTTTACATGTGATTCCTTGAATCGAACCTAAACTTTGGGTTAGTGGATGCATGTGTGAAGATTTGAGGATACGGCGCATCGCTGTTAGTCTAGGGTGTCCCAAATGATCATGCCAAAGTCTAATTTCGTACTCGGTCCCAGAGGTAGGTAGGCCACATGGTTGTAGTATACAAACCACTCGGGATACGCTTCATTTTTTCTAAAATACCCTTCTGGCCATATTCGTATGAAGTAATGTACATAAATTCAACTCTGTTTTCTACATAGGTTTTAGCCTAGTAATTATTATCTATAATGTCCTTGAATTGGTCACATGCATAAAAGTTCTAAAAACAAATATTCATTCAAAATAATTTAAGTATTCAAGGATGGTAATTAAAAAAACCTAATATCCAAAAACAAATCACCAACAAATAATCCAACCATAAAGGAAATTGTTCAAACTTAAATAAAAAACAAGGGGGAGTTTGCCACTTGGTAGAATTCGCCCCCATTATTCTAAAATGCAACTAAAAATAGTTTATGTCTAAGATTATAATATTTCATAGGGGTAATAGCCTCCTGAAAGCCAGAAACCCCTATCTTGGTACTCTCCGATTCATCCACTTGCATAATGTTTGATTCAAACTTCTTACGACAAGAATGATATTCAACTACAACTTTCTTAGGAGCACGGCCAACACGGGACCAATGGTCATTTGAACCACAGCGGTAACACATGTCTGCATCCATGGTTTCAGGTGCTTTACCCTTATTCTTGAAGTTTAGGGCTTTGAGAGCGAGGTTAGGGCGCTTCTGGGCTCAGTTTTCTCCCTTAGATAGGCTTTGGCTCTGTTGACCTTGTTGGGGTGGCTTATGACCGCCCGTGAGTTTTGGGCGTTGATTTGTGCTACAATGTGCTTCAGGCACAACAGTAGCCCCAGTAGGTCGAGCTTGATGATTTTTCATAAATAGCTGATTCTGCTTTTCAACGAGAAGTAAAACAAAGATCAAATCCAAAAACTTAGTGAACTTTTGAGCCCTATATTTTTGCTGCAGGACAATATTGGTAGCAGAGAATGTCAAATAGGTCTTTACTAGAAGATCATCTTCGATCAAGGTCTCGTTATAGAACTTGAGAGGTGATCGGATTCGACGAACTTCAGAATTATATTCATTCACAGACTTAAAGTTTTGGAAGTGCAAATGCTGCTAGTCATGTCTTGCTGCAGGCAAGAAGATATCATTTTGGGGATCAAAGCGATTAGCTAAAGCGACCCAAAAGGCTCGTGGATCTTCCTTAGCAAGGTACTTGGTTTGCAGTACATCATGAATGTGTCTTCAGATGAAGATCATGATAGTGGATTTCTCAGCTTCACTAACCTAGTTGTCCGTCCCATCTTCAATGGCGGGACGCAAATTCTTTGTGGTAAGGTGGAGTTCACATCTTGGACCCATTCGAGGTAGTTTCTTCTAGAGACCTCTAAAGCAGTGAAGTCGAGTTTGTTAAAATTCGACATATCCCTATTACAAAAAAAAAAAAAAAGGACAAAAATGTGGTTAGTGTAATGGAGAAAAAATCAATTCATTCACATAGGAGTAGAACATTCAGGTTCTAATAGACATTTATTGGTTTAAATTTGCATGAAAAGCTTCGGGTTTCATGGGTGATGTTTTTAAGGAAAACTTCAGATTTTCAAACAAGGCATGTTTCTTAGAAACTGTAGGTTCATATGTTCCTACTGACAAACGCAAATATATATATAGAAATACAGAATAAAAAAAATATGCAAATAGATCTTTCAGGTCTAGAATTATAATTGAATTAATTATTTGGACTTCAGGCCAAAATTGAAGTGTGGGTGAAAAATTATAAACCCAAATTGTCTAAAAAAAAAAACAATTAAGTTCGGGGGCCCAAAATAATAGGCCAACGCCTACGGGTGGGCTAAGCAGATTTGGACTGTGTGACCCAGACCTAGAAACTGGGCTGGGGTGATCTAATCAAGCTAAGGGGTTGCAGGCCCAAGGCAGCAAACACCTGTAAAACGGATGGGCCAAAAAACATAGGCCCAAACAGGGTGTTGATTAGATGCAGCGCTGTGCAGGTGCACCGATGCACCAATTGCAAGCTGGGATCGCATGCATGTAGGGACACGGATGCACTAGCTGCAGGTTGGGATTCGGGACTAGTGTCATTTGCGGGTTGGGCTAGGGTAAGAAGCCCATATGCACAAATGTGGGCTGCAAACGCAGGCCCAGATGGCTTTGGCCCAAATAATGGAACCAATCTTATGCGATGCATACACGGATGCACCAGTACAGAGGCTGGGATCCAGTGTGGTGGGAACACCATGGCTAATAGGCCGATGTTGGGCCGAGTATAGCTCGAAACCCCAAAGGGTTGGTGCTAGTCGATAATAGACCAAGCCTAAATGGGCTTGGGTTTTTTATCCAAACACCCAAGCGCAAGCTGGGTGAACTTGTCAGTGACGACTTCAAAGAAAAAAAACATAGAATTTCAGTTAAGGATTCGTCGATGATGACTTTAGGTCGTTAGGAGGTAGTCGTGGTGCCTGGGCATGTTTGTAGGCTATGCTACGTTACGGTTCAAGAGAGGTGACACCGTTTAGGCGTTGAGTTTTAGGTTTGGGCCTGGAGCCGTGGCTCCAGGTTTGGATTTCTTGGCTCAGGGAATGGGATGGCCGAACGACATGGTTGGGTTTCAAACGAAACCTTAAAGAATTTCTTTTGTAATTTTTTTCAATTCCATATATAAGATTAATTAAATTGCATGCATATTCATCACATAATTCAATGCATAAGCAGATATATGATGTAATTCATGGCAATATCAATTCACATAACAATTATGGATATAATGCATACACAATTTATATAAAATCTAAAATTTGAAAAACGTAAAGTTGGGTCATGCATTATGGTGAATGTTCATGCTATTAGGACTACAAAAATATCGAGATAAAAACTGTTGTTTTGAAAGAATCTGATTGTGTGATGATATTGATGAACTAGTTTGATGCAGAAAACTTCCATGCCATGTTCCTAAGCGCAGCAGTAAGAGTGTGTTGATAACGTGTTGTGGCTTATTTTATCTGATAGGGAGAGAGAGGGCCAACAACACAGAGAGAAAATAGAGAGGGATGTGTTTGTAGGGCTGTGTAGAGGATGTGTTTGTTCACCCTACGCAGTGCCTTTATTTATAGTAATAAGGAGGGAAGAATCATTTTCCTCCAAGGAGTACAAGTCTTAATAGGGTAGAATAACTAGAATCAAACTAATCTAGGATTTACATAATCACACTTAAATACAAAGTTTATAACAAAAACAACATAATTATAAAAGGAAAAAGTTTTTCAGCAAATTGTAACGGTATTTCCCAACCCGTCTTATGGGTTGGCAATCAGTAACTCCTTCGAACAATACAAAAAAGAAAGATATGTGTTCATTATCGGTATGCTACACTTATCATCTAATTATACTATCATTTGTATCATTTCTTTTTTAAAGGGCCTGCCAACCCATGTAGGTGTATTAGAAAATAAGAGTACCATTTTTGTTTTATCATTTACGTGTGCGTATTTATACACTAAAAAGTTTATACGAATATAAATATCTCTCCCGCTTTTATTACGTACTCCTCTTTCTCCGATTGCGGGTTTGATCTGAGCTTTACTTTGCTTGAATCTCCGGTACTCTTCCAATCCTCGCTTTTCAAATTTGCTTCATTTCATATATTTTCTGTTAAATTTCGCCTGAATTTAGCTCAATCCCTAGATTTTCTACTTCTGGTCAGCTTAGGGCTCCGCATGCTGTTTGAATTTGGATTTGTTAATTTTTTATTAATTGATTATTTTGAAGTCTCATGTACGTTTTTGCTGCTGGAAAACCCGGGAAATCAAGGGAAAAATATAACTTTTAAAATTCCGAGCCAAAGGGGATTGGGTGCAATTGGATGGAGTTTTGTTTTATAAATTTAAATTTCTTATTTGGGAAAATGTTGAAGAGTTCAAATTCTATCATGTTGAAATGTTGGTTTTGGGAGCAATTTATGATTGGTTTTTGCAAAATTTGGTATTATAATGTCAAAGATGTGATCAAAGTATAACGAGCTTTGATCCAACCAGACATCCTCCGGTTTGGTTAACCAGAGAGTTGTGGAAAAGGAAACGAAGGAACATCTGTTTGCGTTTCTGATACGGTAAATTTTAACATTACCCAAATGGGTGAAAGGGTTTTCTTGAGGCTCAATGGAGCTTGCATTCTTGGTTTTGTCAAGTAAAATTCTGAGGTGTAGCTACCGGCATTATATGGTTGTTGAATAGAGGTGTTATTTAGTATTTAGTATTTTTGTTTAGCGGATATTTTGGCTTACTGCAGCGTAGTTGCTTGTTGACGTGGGTAGGTACTTGATAAGATACTTACTCCTTTTGTTGTTCATTATGTGATAATAGGTACAAACATATTCGATGGTGTAGGACAGGTTCAGAAGCTGCTTAATTAAGGAACTGAGAAACTAATGCTATGTTCTGGGAATAATTTAAACCGTGGTACTGCAACACTGTCATCAGCTATGCCTCCTTTGCTCCAATGTTTGCCATTGGAGCCTATTATGTTAAGCAATCAAAAGTACACTCGCTCAGGTGAACTAAGGAGGGTTCTGGGCTTTCCTCTTGGGAGTTTAACAGATGACCATTCTCTTGGAGTTTTCCATCTGAAGCCTCCACCTCCAGTGGCAACAGAGGAGCTAAAGCACTTCAAAGAAAGTGTGCAAGATGCATCTAGAAAGGCCAGGTATAGTCCGCTCACCCTACAACTACTACTTGCAGTGACAGTTTTTACAACTGAATCGTACATCATTGAAGCCGTAGTTCATGTCTCGAATAATTACGGATGTTTGTTCAATCAAAATGGGGCATTTGGTGATTGAAATCGTGCGGCTTGGTGTTGTTTATATTTAAGAGTAAATTTACTGTAAATTATTTCCGTTGATGTTGGTGGTAACTCATCTCCTTTGATAACTACATAATTGTAGTAAATCATCTCTGTTGAGATTTTGATTATCGTATCGTTAGATGAAATGATTAAAAAATGTTCCAATAATTTCTATAACATATATTAACAATCTTTTTGTTTTTTTCCTACCAGGGACAGAGCAAAAATGTTGCGTGAATCTATTTTCAAATTGGATAAGTACAGAGAAGCTTTAAGCTCAAAGAAGAGACAGCGTAGTGATCTTTCATCAAGTGAGAGGTCCAATGGAGTAAACGTAGTGAAACTCGGAAGTCAGATTTATAAAAACCCTCGTGAAAATATGACTCAAAGATTTGAAGACAGGGCCAAGAGTGTTAGGTTCAACAAACGTTTTAGGACGTCGGTGGCTGATGTGCGGGTTTGTATTCAGATTTAATTGGAATTTTATCCAATTTAATCTACGTCCCTGTGGCTTAGCAATGTATTATTTATTTTTCATATGACATTGAATACAGCAAAAGCTATACTTGTTTTTTATTTTCTTTAGCAATTTTTTTTTCCCTTAATGTTACTCTACTTTCACTTCGTAGTGTATCAAAAAACCAAACCCGCTTTAGTCTTTATATTTCAAGGAAAAAAACCATGGACAAGTTCACAGTAAGAAGCTTAGTTCAAGCATAGTTCAAGCATACTTTTTGGACCAGAATTCTATACTAGATTGATTGGCGAGTTTTCATGCATTTAATGGTTAAAATGAGGCTGTATGAATTAATTGGTGAGTTTTCGTTCTTTATAGTCAGATTTCCTGTTATGTTTAATTGATTTGATTTACGAGTTTTCATGCATTTAGTGGACCAGAATTCTATACTAAATTAGTTCTTTTAATTAAATTTAGCTTCAAGCTTCTTTAAGTGATGATCAGTGCAAACTTCTACGTACATGTGTTTAAGATGTGCACATTTTCTCTATGATATCAGGCAGATGTTAGGTCAGCTGCTACCTCAAGGCAGCAGGTAGTCACAGACAAGGATGAAAAAATGCCTCAGGCTGTTAATGCGGCTTCTGTCAGGATTGAAGAAAAGACCCGTAGATTGCTTGCTGGAGGTGAAGGGTTGGATCAAAAAGTAAAAAAGAAACGTTCGGTGGGAGCAGTGAGTCATAGAATTATAGGTGGTGAATGGGATATACAACAAGCTACACATCCAAAGCTGAGTGATGATCCTAAGCTACGCTCTTGTGACGTACAAGGTGTCAGGTAGATATATGTGTAAACTATCAATATAAATTTTTTAACTTGTCATTCTGCTTGAGTTTTGCAGTTTTTTACAATTTATTCATGTTATCTCTAGTATGACTATTTGAGCAAAGGGAGACTTTTGGGTTGGGAAAATATTTTGTTTTTCAATTTTTTGGACTAGTAAGTTTTTTGCAGTTCTTTTTTATGATTATCCACATTTAGAAATGGTAAAAGGAAAAGACAATGATTTTTCCTTTTTAATATTCTTGCTTTTCATATGTTGCAGATTAAAAACTTCACTTGGAGTTGGGGGAATCAACAAGTCAGAACCATCTTTGGAGTCCAGTAATCTCAGTACCTGTACAGTACTCAAGAATGATATGGAAAATGCTCCTGTTCAAAAAGACCATTCAGTTGTTTTAGAGCAGAAGGTTATGTTGAAAGGAAACATTAAGTATGTATTTTATTCTGTTACCATCCTATCATACTTTGAAGTCATTAGGAATTGTGATTAAAGACCACCAGATAACCTTGACTCTGTTATTTGGAAACCTCACTTTTAGTGGTTACAATTAGGCTGTTGATTTTATCATTGCTCTTTGCATCAGGCTAAATATTCAGGAGGAGAACCCTATAGGCAGTCTTAATACTGTGATAAAAGGAAGGGTTTCTAGGGCGCCACAAACTGGTTCCATCTTGAATCTAGACTCATCACCTAATATTCACTCTCCGTCTGCACCCTTTCAAGGTCGAGAACATCCTGCTGGTGAAAACAAAGGCAAAGTGGCATGTGTTATGAGTAATCAAAAGCGTGTAATGTCGAATGGTTGTTCCGTACAACCTATGGCTCAGTGGGTTGGTCAGAGACCACATAAAAACTCTCGCGCAAGGAGAACAAATTTGGTTGCTCCTATACCAAAAAATGCTGAGGCTCAGATTTCCTGTCACAGTTCTGCAACTTCTAATTTTAGTGCTAGAACTTCTTCTGTTGGGACCAATGGATCACAAATTATGAGCAGTTTAGATAATCACACCCCGAAATCTAAAAGAGAACTTCAGAATGTTTCATCTCCATTTGGGTTATCTGGAAATGAAGAATCTGGAGCTAGGGAAAACAAGTTGAAAGATATGGGAATGGACAGCAGTGACATTGCCTTAGCTGCAGATCAAAAAGTTGTGGCTCGCTTATTCCCCAGCAAGAAGAATAAGTCACCAACTAAAGAAATTGGAGATGGTGTACGAAGACAAGGAAGAAGTGGAAGGTGTTCATCTTTAACAAGGCCTGAGATTCCTCCAATTGTGAAGAAATTGGAGAATTTACCAACCACAAAGCCTCTTCAAGGCATGAAACCTATGTCCGATAAGAATAAAAGGTGACTATATTTTGCGTTATCTGTCACATAGGTATTGTGAAAATGAATTGAGTATTTGACTGAAATCTCATCGATTTTTATGGCATTTAGTAAAACAGGTCATCCGCTCTCAAAAAAGATTAAAGATCACAAGTTCTTAACTCGTGTTGGACCTTCAACATGTAATGGTTCGTCAGATTTCACAGGTAGCGATAAAATATTTTTGCTTTAAGAGGGTTGATTTTCCATTTTGTTTTCTTTCATTTAAAATTATTCAAAGTTTAGTAGTTTACTGATATTCATGGGATTTTGATAAACATTGCAGATTTGAAATCAGCATTACAATTTTTCTTGCAAAACTAGATTTTCTCTCCTTGATTGGCATTTTTTGTTTTTTTATTATTTTATATGCGTTTTTTTTTTTTAATTTTATATGCTTTTTTTTTTTTGCTGGTGTGCATGTTTTATTTAACAAATTCTGTATGAAATATGGTGAAAAAACTTGTGTCAATTGCAGAATTTGGCAATAATACCTTTTAATATATGTTGCCATGTCCTTAAATAGGTGAATCTGAAGACGATCATGAAGAACTATATTTGGCTGCTAATTCTGCTCGTAATGCTAGTAGTATGCTTCTTGGCCTTTTAATACAAACACAGAGTTCAACAGTTCTACACAAAGCAGCATACTTTGTGCTATACATTCATACTTTTTGACTTAAGTTCTCTACGGTTTTTGTAGAATCTGCCTGTTCTGGTCCATTTTGGAAGAAAATGGAATTGCTTTTTGGTTCTCTTGGCTCAGAGGACATATCCTACTTGCAGCAGCAGGTATTAAATTGGCCACCTTGATGAATGTAAAATTTAATGTATATCCTTGGGCCAGACACTTACAATTTTCTTTCCTTATGTATATTGGCTGGATCAGCTAAGTTTTCCAGAGGAGCTTGGTGAGAGTTTGTCTCAGATTTTTAGTGATGAATACAATATTTCGGTAATATAATTAGCCATTGTTCTCGTGAACTTTCATTTGATTTTGTGCATTTCATTAAATTTTCAGATCTTCACGGTTTATGTTCTCAACTAAAAGCAAAGGAGAAAAAGGATGTATAGGAAATAAGTCAAACATTTTTGAGGATGTTAATTTGTTGGAAACTAATTTGTGCAGGGCATTTTGATGCATACAGCAGTCCCTAATTGTTCTGGGGAAAGACAAGGGAGCCATTTTAATCAAGATTCACTGAAGACTGATGCTTTATGTGAAAAACGTGACATGAGAAGGTTGGAAAAGGATACTCCATTGTACCAAAGAGTTCTCTCTGCTTTAATTGTAGAAGAAGGTGAAGAACTTTACCATCAAAGCGAAGGGAAAAATATGCACATGTGGTGTGCTAGTGATGATTCTCATTGTGGTTCATGTAATCAGATTGATGTTGAACCCAAAGATTGGGACAGAATAGAATCTGAAGTTGAATCGAAAGTAGATGTTTCGAGATACTGCATGCTGGACAGACTTTCTTGTGATAAAAGTGCTAAAACTAGTACCCTTAGTAATGGAAACATGTCTAGTTCTTTACACAGCCAGGAACAGTGGGATGGAGATGATGGCCTTTCAGATTCTGATGCGGAGCAACTGCAACCTAGGGGGCTAGACACTCCTTGCTTTCCTTCCTCTGACTGCCAATATCAGTTGATGTGTCTGGATGACAGGCTTCTTCTGGAGCTAGAAAGTATTGATTTATGTCTGGAGAGATTGGTAAGCATTCATTTCAAGCCTTCATCTGTCTTATAAGTGTCGTGGAAAACTTTTATGCCAGTAATTTTTGGTGTTTTATCCAGACTTCTTACCTTTCTTCCTGCTTCTTCTCTTTTGTGTGTGCCTTGCTGCAGCCTGATCTAACAGACGGAGAAGACATGATTAATCAAGATATAATGGGACTCGAGCAAGGGCTGCATCAAGAGGTTGAATTTTCATAGATATTCTTGTTTCAGCTAGCTATATGAATTATGAATCACTGTATATATGCATCTAATTGACTTTCCACAATGATATTTTCTAAAGTATAAATCCCTTTGATTTTTCCTGTTTCTTGTTTCTTGTTTCTTACGTTTCTTTATGTAACTAACAGATCGCGAGGAAGAAGAAAAACTTAGCAAAAATTGATAAAACTATCCAGAAAGAAAGAGTTACAGAAAGACGGTAGGATTGAGAATGCTTTGGCAGTTTTACTTATTGTACTATTTACCTTATTCTTTTAGTTCAGCCATGTTTTGGATTAATGTGGTTTAATATCACAGGAGAACTGAACTAGTTGCAATAGACCAGCTTATTGAGATGGCTTACAGAAAACGATTGGTAATTAGTTTCTATTTTTCAGCTTTGTATTTATACATTTTCAAAATATTCATCTGTTTAAGTTGTTTATCACAAATTCACAAATATAGAACTTTGGAGCATAATCTGACTTTATCGACAGAAGTGAGCAAGGGAAGTAAAACAAGAAATTTGATAAAGTTAGGCACAAATAAAATTAGGCAATGCCTAATTCTAAGTTTCAAACAAATAAATCATTTAATGTAGGAGCAGTGGATACATTGTGATCATATTAGGTAGCAAACCTTGAATGTTACGGTTTAACTTTTCTTACTGTCGTGCCTGTGGGCAAATTACTCTTGTACCCTAGCAACTCTAGCTATGAATAATTCATTGCACTATAAGTCAGGTGCAAACATCAGTTGATTTTAGCAGTCCTAGGACCCGGGATAGACTGATTCTATTTCCACTCAGTTTCCTATTTCCCCATCCCCTTTTAATAATATTTTATTTCAAATTTGTCCTCATAATGTTAACAACAATATTTTCCACTGGAGAATCGGAGATCACCATACTTCCATCGTGGAAATCACTTCATGTACTAACAAACAGCCTCCACAGCAATTCATGTCCTCTTTGCACAGAGCAATCTTTCTTTGTTCCCGTTGTCATATTAAAATCCCTAGTGCATGTGCCTGGCTATACCATCTTTCTCATTAGGCAATAGTTTGAGGTGGGTGGTGCTTTTTATTCAATAATTTGTTTATGATGTGGGTGTCCTTTGATTGATGTAGTTGGCGTGATAGATGTCTTTTAGGGTGGGGTGGCTCAGGGCTGGGAAAATTGAGTGGTGCCACTATATATGAATATTTATGAGGAATTCTAATGTCTGCCATAATTGTAATGTAGAAGGTGAATTTTTAATCAGACCAATGGTGAACCAAGGTGTATGATAGATTATTGAACATTTTCTTTTGGTAAGAGACAGATTACTGAACATTTTCCATCCTCTTAATTTTTACAGGCTTCACTGGGGAGTAATGGTTCCAAAAATGCAGTACGTAAGGTTTCAAAACAAGTAGCATTGGCTTTTCTCAAACGCACGCTTTCTAGATGTCGAAAATTTGAAGAAAGAGGCATTAGTTGCTTTAGTGATCCTGCACTGCAGAAGGTTATATTCTATGAATCTTCATGCAACAATGCTGCAAAGCCTGTTGACTTTAAATGCAACGAAGGTTCCCATCAAGCGGAAGTCAGGAGATCTGGTGTGTGTCGATTAGACTTTAAATGCTTGTGTAATGATATTTATAACTGCCTTTTATTTAATTTATATCCATGAAAGTTACAAGTTTTCTTGCATAGCATACCTTTGTTTTATGTTTCTTTTCCTTTCCTTTTTTGTTCTTAGATGATTCCCATTTTAGGGAAAAAATCATTTTACTTTATCATTAGGAAATTGCAATCAGTAATTGTTGTGGGATACTAAGTTAATAACAATGTAAGATGTGTTGTTTCATTTGATTCTGCAGGGGCAGTGTCCAGTGCGAGTGGGAGATATGATTCCCTTAGTAATAATCTCGACAGGGGTGCTAGTCTTGAAAGGGGTTCATCAGCGGCTCTTCATGCTGTCATTGACTCGTCTGGTCAAGCTTCTTCCACACATGGATCAAAGTTGAACCTTAACAAGGGGAAGAAGCGGGAACTGCTGATTACTGATGTTGGTGGAAGTGCATCCTCAATGTTAACTTCAGCTCTAGACACCACTCTTCACGAAGTAAAGGGAAAGAAAAGTGAGAGAGATAAGGACCGAAATTTAGATAATTTCAGAAACAGTTCGCCCAGTGGAGCTGGTCGCGCATCATTGGACTCCTCTGGAAGTGAAAGCAAAACAAAAGGAAAGTCCAGGCAAAATAATACTAAGTTACCAAGTCAATCAGTTGGTAATGCCAGCAATAAAAGGAATAGGGTGGGGCCGTCGTTGCCCAGCAATACACGTTCATCTTTGTCTAAAGAGACAGATGAACCCACTGATTTTGCAAATTTGCAACTGCCTGAATTAGATTCACCGGAAGAGAATCAAGATCTCAGTACATGGTTGAACTTTGATGAAGATGGCCTGCAAGATCATGATTCCATTGGCCTTGAAATACCAATGGACGATCTCTCAGAGTTGATGCTTATGTGAGACAGTTTAAACTACTTGTTTCACCCTGATCGCCTTCCGGCTGTTGCGTCACAAAACCCCTTATTCCAGATTGAAACAAAGTTAGTCTAACCACACCAGGTTGTAATTGTAATTCTCTTTTTAACGAATATCGATGTAATCGAAGAATTTTGATTGTAAAACCCAGATGTGTTTTCTTTGATTGTAACACTGCTTGGTATCCCCTTCCAGAGAATGATACCAGGCATGGAATTGGATCCTCTCCGAGGCAAACCCTCGGATCCTCCTAACCCACTAACACGGGCCGTTGGATTTTGATCCAACGGCTACAAACACGGAGGTCCTTTTAAAAGTTATAATAATTGTAGCCGTTTGATTAAAATCTAATGGCCTGTGTTATTGGGTCAGAAGGATCCTGAGGGTTTGCCTCGGAGAGGATCCAATGCCACCAGGCATTACTCCCACTCATGTAATTTTTGTGCCTGTCTGCGTATCTGCAAAGTGATTGGATCTCACTTGTCGAAATGTACAACTGAAAATAGCTCTTATTTTCCTATTTTTCTTATACGGTATGTACCGCTGGGTTTGAGTGGTTCAGAAAGAAAATTAATTGTTAAATCTTGCATATGGTGACATCATGGACCTTTACGACGGTTAGATCTTGTTTCAAACTAGAGTGAATTGCAAGATTGTGATTTCTAGACTGATCTGTAAATTCCATGCAATTCTTACAAACCCTATACTCTACTGGCAAGATCGCAGGATTAAACACTAAAATAAAACCATCATGTAGAATGGTTAAATGAATTCCGACCTAGCAAGCTAATTATTTCAAAGATAATATTATTAGTTAAGACCTAAAAAATGGATGATTTAGATCATTGGCCGTGTGGGCTCAAAAAGTGGCTTGTACCATAGTAACATTTCTGTACACGGACGACGAGTTTATGCTTTAAGGTGTTGTATACAAATTTACGTGTTGTAATATAGTTAAGTAAATTGGTTATATTACGTGATAGTGACTGTACTATAGTACAAAATAATTTCTAGTACAACACATTTCCAATTCAATTATCGTTTTAGTGAACGATCATCTTAGTGATAACTTTAAATTATTTTGTAATTCCCTAATAATCAAATGGAGTTGTCACGAAGGAAGGGGTTGTTTGGGAGTTTGCATTATTCTATATGTTTCTTCCGGAAAGATCATTACGCATGTAATATATGCAAACAACTATCCACCAACTACAGGTCAATAGCTTGTTAATTTTAGACGATAATATAAATCAATTGCAAGCATTGGATCGGTCTCCTACTATTAGTTTTGTAGTATATATGCAAGATCAGGTCAGCTTTAGCAATCAATATTAATTTATGCATTCTTTTGAATGTGCAGATTTAAGTTTGGTCAAGTTAGGTTTAATCAATGCATTTGGTTTAACATTCTAGTAGATACGATGTTGGGTTTCTACCTGATGCATTCCCAATTTGAAACTCCTCCTACCCTAAATTATAATAAACGTTCAAACACTTCATGAAAATATAAGGAAACATATTTTCACAGAACGATATATGTTTCATTAAATCATTGGTAAATTAATCGAACCTAATGTACAAAGACGTATGCTTTAAAGTAAAGGAAGATGGATGGATAGGGTTATATATATCATATATAATGTCGCCTATGATATCAAATGGGGATAACAAAGCCATGCTGATAGTGATGGATATTGCCAACCCTAGCCTCTTATTTATAATTTACTCCATGTCGACGCGGTAATGGCCCGAAAAGTAAAGGCCAATTGGGAAGCAAAGAAACGTATTATATATAATTTAGAATGCTTAAAACCTACTAATGATTTCATCCTATGGGTATGGGGGGTTAATTAGAGTAATTAACTAGTCAACTTCAACTACAGTAGAATGGCATACTCGACGTTCAGATTCTTCTACTCAACCAAGTGCTACAAAATCTTCACACGAAGATTTGTAAAGGAAATATGTCGGTATCTGCTTAGTTTCTGTTTGGCTACCAAGGTACATGGAGCTTATTATTTAACAATTTCATTGACAAAATTATGCTTGTTGATTGTTTTGCAAAGTAAGTATGCGATCAAGGGCAGCCCAAGGCGAGCCAGTGAAAGGAGTCCTTGAGTTTTCAAGTCCTTAATGTGTCACACATTCATATATGGTGTGTTTTAAGTGATAAATTAGAATAATCTAATATATAATGACTTAGAAAAAGTAAAATGGGTGGTAACAAGAAAATAAAAGGCCATACGTACAAAGACTTAATCAACACACAAACATCACAAATAATAAAGTTTCCTACCAAACTTTTTTCAATAGATAACATAGTATTTGATCAACTTCAAATAAAATTTAAATTCATAGTTTGATAGTAATTACCTTAAGTTGCAGTCTTCTAGACTTTATGTGAGTTAATTCGAAAATCCACTGAAATATGAAACCCTAGGTCGTATGTTCCAACATAATCGCTTCCTTCATCTTTACTTGTTTAATGTTCATTTTGTTTGTTTGGCTTTTTACGTTTAATTTTTACATGATGAACGGTGAAGGGATGAAACGAATGGTCCAAAGTAAACAATCCCAGCATTATAAATCGCTCATGTTGGAATGTAATTACATGAAGTGAGGTAGCTGCGACACATTGGTTTTTCAGTTTCAAACTCGTCCCACTATTTTGGATATTCATGTAACTTAAAACAAGATCTTCCATGCTTTGAGCTGCACAACAAGTGCAACCTTCCTCAGAAGTATGAGAAGGCAGTTGTCTCGAATCTGAGTTTGACTTTGCAGGTGTAGATGACAAAAGGACAACAACATAAGACCATTCTATCTACGCAAGTAAAGACGTTTGCAATGGCGAATTTCTAGGCATAGAACGACTGGTAGGCTGGGTCGATCATGTGATCGGTGTGGTTTAATCAGGTTTCAAGGTATCATCCAACCGTTCAGCTAGTTCGAGTATTGTCTGTCAAACGAAATGCCAAGGAAGAAGCATGATGAACAATCATCTCTAGGGTCTGGTTTTGGTTCTTAATTCGAATATGAATCTAGTTCGGAATTATTTGGGTCATTTTTTGAATCTGGGTGAGGGTTGTGTTGAGTTCTGCAATCTGAGAACTCCAATCATAAGTAAAAAAAGAAGAAGTAGGATATGGCATGACATGTGGCGTTCTTTCCCCTGGTGTCGCAAACATGGGTATTAGGGTTTGCTAGAGTATGATTGTCAGGATAAATCTGACATGTAGAAGCCGATGAAGAAGTCATTAAGCTATGATCTTCAAAGTTGACCTAAGACCTTCTCCTCTCATTCTTAATACGTTCAAGTAACAATAGATTTTAGTTGAATTATGAGCACTATTTTTGTGAGAGTAAAGGCCACCTTTATATAGGTAGACAATCCCTACGATTCATCTATTAGAATCCTTGTAGGAAAACAACATTGTCTCCCCATTTTAGTTTAAGTGAGTAATTTAAGATCAACTCTAAGTTTTAATCCAATAAGACTTTTATGGATCAATTTGAACTCAAATATTCAATAAAAATACACATACAGTTATGCTCATATTCTAACAATGATTTCATCTAAGCACATAAAATATCTTAAATCTCTATCTCATACCATGTTAAAAATAGGAATATCATGTTGACGACAAGAATTTATGTTGTACTCATCTCTTTTTGGAGGCACACATTTATAGAGATACAATCCTTGTAGGGCAAGAAAAACAATAAATCCTAATCTATTTACAATAGGAAATAAAAACATATAAGGAAATAAAAGAAAATATACTTACATTTTTATTCTAATGTGGACTCATGCCAATAATATGTTCTAGTTGTATAATTGTTAAGGTTCAACAAATCGATCCATTATGCTATCAAGTGGAAAACCAAACACAAACACGATCTACTAAGCTACAAAATTATGACAAACACGACTAGTTGGTAAACGGGTCACTAACAAGTCCACCCGTTGTTTACACGGCCCATTAAAGCTCAACTCAATAAATAATTTTTTCGTGCATACTCGTATTGTGTTATCGGTTTGTGCATAATTGGCCATGTGTAATATGTATCTCAAATAGATATTATCAAATTAAGGAACATGCATTCTCTATAATAGACAAGCGTGCATATGTCCACCTTTTCTGCAAATTGTTTTGAAGGATTTGATAAGAACTGTAATGTAGAAAGGAAGAAGAAGATTAAGAGGGTTTAGAGAGAGAAGGAATCTTGTAAAATGTATTGATAACTCTTGTTAAGAACTGTTTATTACAAGCTATATATAATAGCTATAGTAGTTTGCACTCTAAGCTACATTCTCAACAAACATAATACTCCTAACATCCCCCTACAAGCTCAGGAGCAGAGAAATTGAGCCTGAAATTGGCACAATGTGTCTGAAATAGTGGTGCAGAGAGTCCTTTTGTAAGTATATCAACAAATTGTTCATTCGAAGACAAAAGATGTACTTGCAGTTGTTGTTTGGCTACCCTTTCTCAAACAAAATGCACATCAATCTCAATGTACTTAGTGCGTTGGTGCTAAGATTGCAAGTAAGAGCTACTGCTGATAAATTGTCACAAAAGATGAATGGTTTATCAGAAAATGGAACATGCAGAAAAACCAACAATTGTTTGATCTAATCAATTTCAGCTGTTGTAGTTGACAAAGCCTGATATCCAGCTTCAGTCGATGATCAAGAAACAGTGTTTTGTTTCTTAGATGACCATGAAATGGAATTAGACCCCAGAAACACAACCAGTGGTTGATCTTCTATCATTAGGGTCCCCTGCCCAATCTGCATCACTATAAGTAGTGACATCCAATTAACCTTTGACATAATGAATTCTACAGTCTTGAGTAGCTTTTAAGTATCTGAGAATTCTTTTAACAGCCATAAAATGTGACTCCATAGGACATTGAATAAATTGACATACTGATGCACTGCAAAAGCAATGTTAGGCCTAGTGAATGTTAAGTATTGGAGGGCACCAAGTAAACTTCTATATAATGCAAGATTATTGTAAGACTTTCCATCATCTTTGAGCAATATGTTGTAAGGCAAGCATGGAGTAGCACATGGTTTAAACAGCAACATTTCAGACTTGGTTAACAAATCAGTGACATACTTATCCTGAGATAGGAATAAACCATCATTTTTCTGCATAATTTGTATCCCCAAAAAGTAGTGAAGTGGTCTCAAGTCTTTTAAATCAAATTCCTGAGTAAGAGATTGAATAACCTCAGTGATTGCATGTGTTGCACTTCCTGTTATAATGATGTCATCAACATATAATAGAAAGATCACTACAGAACTGCTAACAGTTTTCACAAACAATGATGAATCTGCATATGTTGATTTGAACCCCAAAGATGGTAGAAAACTAGTGAATCTCTCATTCTAGGCCCTTGGTGCCTGTTTCAATCCATATAAGGATTTATGTAATCTGCAAACATAGTCTCCATGTTTGGAATCCACAAATCCAAGTGGT